ATAAACACAACTTTTTTCCAGATAAGTTCTCTTTTTTTTTTTTTTTTTTTTTTTTTTGGTACCAGGAACTGAACCCAGGGATGCTTAATGACTAAAACACGTCCCCCCAAGCCCTATTTTATATTTAGAGATAGAGTCTCACTGAGTTGCTCAGGGTCTTGCTAAGTTGCTGAGGCTAGCTTTGAGCTCGCAATCCTCCTGCCCCAACCGCCTGAACCACTGAGATTACAGTGTGCACCACCACACTAGGTTTCCAGATAACTTCTTTTAAAGCTCAACAGGGCATTCACACTGATTATCCAGTATATAAAACAGCTTTAAAAGACAAAGACCTAATAGAGTTAATAACATGACAATTCTTATCTAAACTTAAATCATGTCATAGAAGTGATCAAAAATGCTAAAAAGTGTAAGATAATTTTTTAACATTTTATAAGATTTAAGGAAGATATCAATATGAAAATAATGAATATAAGAGCAATGAGCCAGAATTTATTTCAAAAGGCAAGTTCTATAAAGATGAACATTTTCATTGGCCATACATAGTCATGTTGAATAAACAAGATGTTTTGCTTGGCAACCCTCCTAGCTCTAAATTACATAGTTGTTACTGGGAAGCAAGTGTAGTAGAAAGTGAGGCTCACTAATAAATCAAATCTTCTGGTAAATTAAAAACTATTTCTTAGTGCCAGGCATGATGGAACACGCCTGTAATCCCAGCTGCTAGAGAGGCCGAGGCACAAGGATCGTAAGTTCAAAGCCAACTCAGCAACTTAGTAAGGCACTGAGCAACTTAGCAACACCCTGTCTCTAAATAAAATACAAAAGGGGGCTGTGGACATACCTCAGTGATTAAGTGCCCCTGAGGTTTAATCCCTGGTGCCAAAAAAAAGAAGTAGTTATTTCTTGGTGCCACTAGATAAGGTCTCACTACCATTAGTTTGTTTTTTTGCTTTTCTGTGTTTATAAATAGCCCCCCCCCCAAAAAAAAAAAGCCCTTTCCTTACTTTGAATGAAAATACTAATTCAATACTCCATTCCATTTCTGCCAACCCTCATTTCAAGTTGTACTGGCAGCTGTGGCTACATCATCTCTGGCTGAGCTCCTGGTTATGTATGTTAGAAAGTAGTAGAACTTTAAAATCTGCTAGAGAATAGTACAGTATTTTCTGTAGAAATCTTTACAGAAACAGTTACCCAGCATTCAGCATTTTCTAAGCAGCTGGGGCTCTTTTCTCTTTGAGGGAAAAAGGAAATAATTTTAATTCAGAAGATAATCTGAAAAAAATATTTTTTATAACAGTTCTGACATTTCAAGATATTTATCCCCCTCCCCCATCTATATCTATCTCTGTCTCTCTGGGGTTGTTCATAATTTAATCCCTGTCCTTAGATGATCAATGCAGAGTAAGGTTAATACCTAAAGTCAGATCCAGAGTAAGTAGTATTCTGCATGTATGTGGACTCTCATGCTAGTGATCTTCTGGATGTCCTTTTCAGTGAATCCCAATCAGTTGGATGAGCACCAGCTATGAGCAAAACACATGTTGTTAAAGTAAGAAGTACCAGACAAGGGCCTGGGGTTGCTCACATGTTTGAGGCACTGGGTTTAATCCTCAGCACCACAAAAAAATAAATTAGTTAAATAAAGATATTGTGTCCATCTACAACTTAAAAAAAAAAAATTTTTTTTTTAAAAAACAAGTACCATACAAGATCTTTGTCATTCCCAGTATCTCTGCTGAAATGTGCTGAAGGACCAGTTTGTTATTTTCTTGATTTTAATTTCCTGTCCATCATGAACTAGTGCTTTTATGAAAACAGTAAAAATGAATTATTAGGCAAATGAAATTTTTAAAATATACAAAATTACTCCCAATTTTTAAGTTATTATTAGATTCAACAGTTATAAAGTTGTTCTGTCAGATTTGTATAAAATTGTCTAAACTCTGTCAGATTGGCATAAAAATCTTAAAACTCTTTCTCTCACCAGACCAGCAACACTTGCTTTGTCAGCCAGTAACAAAGTATTTACAGATGAACAGAATCAGGGATCACACTTTGAGCCGCGCTACTGGTCATTTTGCATGGGGGCAGTAGTAACAACTACTCCCTTACACCTAAGCTAAGCTTTGTGGTGAATACACGGGATACTCTGCCCCCACACAGTTATTTGTTCTCTTTCATTACCCTAAGATGCCCTTTCTTTCCCATCTCCAGCTATGGCAATCCCACTCATCCTGCCGGATGTATTTCCGATGCCATTATTTTCATCAGATCTTTCATGCCTTCCCACTAGTACTACCAGCATCTGGGTCTGGGCCTTCCCCTCTCTTTTCTGAGTAGTTTGCCTCATACATAGTTGGAACAGGATAGTAGCTTGATAAACAATTTGGAACTTTGGAATCAAAGAAACCAAAACTCAATTCCCCACTTGAATGTGACCATGAACAAATTCTTGACCTCTGTTTCCTCTTCTTAACTGGAAATGATTGCTTGGCACAGTGGTGCATGACTGTAATCCCAGCAATTCCGGAAGCTGAGGCAGGAGGATTACAAGTTTGAAGCCAGCCTTAGAAACTTGGTGATACCCTATCTCAAAGTAAAAAAGGTCGGGGATGTAGCCCACAGTAGAGTGTCCCTGGGTTCAATCCCCAGTACCAAAAATAAAAAGTGGAGTGATTATGGTGCCTCTTCCAGAAGGTTGTGTTAAGCTTTCAGTAAGACAACTCATGAAAAGCATTTTTCTTAGTAACTAACACATACATAGTAAGCATTCCCTTAATACTTAATACTCTTAGAATGTCTTTCTGCCCTGTCTCTCTCGGCTTTTTCTTTACCCTCACCTCACTAGATTGAGGGTGGGGTTGCTCCACCCTATGGGCACTGGCCCAGTACCTTGTTCAATAAGTGTAAGTTGATTTTAAGTGATGCTAACAAGCAGTGAAATGGAATCCAGAGGAAAAGATTACTCATAGTTGGAGAAATGAGGGAAGTTTCCTGATAATGATAAGATTTAAACTGAACCTGGTGCAAGGTCAGCATTCTACCCTCCTTCATGACAGCTGCAACACGCCCACTGGCAGGGTGCATTTCATGGTTGGCTGGTATGGAGTCTACAAAGGAACTCAGGAAGTAGAGCAGGAAAGGCAGCCTAGAGACAGGTTGGAAAGGGCCTTCAAGGCCACTTGAGGTGTTGTGTTTTATCCTTTGACTCCAGTGGGAGCACTAGAGTCAGGTTCCTTCAGAAGGTGAATTTGAGGTTGGGGGAAACTGGAGACCAGGGACCCAAATGTGACAAAACTGGGAAACTGATGAAATCCTGTTACTTAAACCAGTATTTCCCAAACCATTCCTCTGAATATTAATGTTCCTCCTGGTATTGATTACTGTTTCCTGGTGAAACAGGGTGGTAGAGTGTGGGGGTTAGTGAAAAAAGATAATCCTAGTATGTGAAGCTTCCCCCATGGAGACCAGCACTCCATGTGCTATGTGTTGAATCGTATCTTACTGACAATCTTTTATTTAAGTCTGTTTAGGATTTAATTGAATTAGTGTTTTCCAAACTTAAGTGATTATAGATTTTGTTTTTCTTCTGTGAAATATCTAGAAACATCTCAAAAAACAGAGTTTAAGAGACAGTGCCCTCAACAGTTCTAAACCAAGGGTATCTAAATGAAACAAGTAAGATTGGGTTCTTTCTCAGTGTTTAGCAGATCCTAGGATATTGGTGCAACCAGGCAGTTGCCAAACAGGAGCAATGTTCTGTCTCACACTGCTCAGTGTTGGGCAGGAGCATGGATCTCATTGGGACCTCACTGATTGCTTACACTCAGAAGGCCAGGGTATTTATGTTCCACCACATTCACCTCTCTGTCCATTGTGTCTCCACAAATGTCCTTTGTTGCCATGCCTCCACATGACACATGGTGATTCCCAACCTTTGTGGAAGTGTCCATTCTATTGAATTTGTTTATTGTTCTCCTTCCCTTGCCTTCAAAAGATCTGTTATGCAGGATATTATATATTAATGAAAAGTGAATTAAAATTAATTATTTAAAAATGACAACCCTTGAGAAATTTATTAGGAGCACTCCTGACTAGCAAAACCAAGGTTGGGATTCATTAAGCTGTGTGGTCATACCATATTTTTTTTCTCATTCTAACATAATTAAAATTGTTATTATAATGTAATTAATTATCTTGCTGGGCTGTTTTTGCCTGAATCAATATAAATCTTGGATATTTGAGAACTTAATTCAACTTTAAATCTTAATAGTATTATTTATTAACTTGTTTAATGAAGTTTAACCCATGTGCCACTAGACCACTCACTGTTAAACAGATAATGAGATGGATGGCACTTCATAGTTGGTTAGCAATTTAAGGTAAATGATATTTTTTTCAAAGATAATTATTGAGTGGATTTATGTAGAGTGCTTAGATCTGGCACATAGTACACCCTGTATCAAGTGTTTGCTCCTATTATTGTTATTTTTCTTATGAGAGATTGGGCATAGGTTCCTGTCTGGTTGTTACTTCTCAGTCTTCCAGATAATTCACTTTCCAGTTTCCATGATTGCTACACTTTTTTTTTTTATTATTGTAATTGCAGGAGCATTTCACCTAAGCAAAGACTCCAAGAAAAATTAGAATTTGCTGAATTTCTGAGTGACTGATATAAATGAGAATTGATAATAATAAATTATTAAAATAGGCTATTAAATTCCTAAATCCTTGCAGATTTAAATACTATCTAGCTTGTTATGTTTATATAATTTTTTTACTAGACTTGTCATTAGGACACAAGGCTTTTAAATATTTTTTATGATTATGCTCTATAAAATTAAAACCTTGTATACAGTTCCATAGTGTAGAAAACATATATACTTATAAACATTGCTTTTGGTTTTAAAATGCTTGTGATTTTTTTTTTAGTTCTTTTATATTAGTCCAAATCTATAAATAACTAATTTTTTTTTTCTTTTCAACTCCTTCAGCTTACTGAAACAAATTCAAGTATCAAGTGCTTGGACTCCATGTGCTGCTTCCCAGAAGGAGAAACAGCGTGCGCATCTATTAGAAGAATGCTGGAACGAGTCATAGGAAGATGTAGTCCAACACACATCAGCAGGTGTGACATTTCTCTAAGTAGCCTTTGCTGCAGATGAGTACCTGTAAACTGGAACAGGATGAACCTGCAGCTCTAGATATCCAATAAATCAGCAGCTGGTTTTACCAACTGAAGCAGGAAGTCTACTACTTATTAGCACTCTTTGATGGTAGATTTCACTTGTGGCTTTGGGGTGGGATTCTTTCACTCACAAAGGAAGAGAAGGCACTTTGAAGAGACTTTTCATCCAATGAACAAAATAATTCTGTTTATATTCTTTCTAAAATGTGGTAAATACAAATGTGTATATGATACTCTTTCTTGATTTGTATAACTTTCTTTTTTTAATAATACCTCTACTACTGCTTGATTTCCTGCTGAGCTTTTTCCTATTTGTCTTTACAAAATAATCTTCACATACAGTGAAGTCAAAGGTCTTTGCTTTTCCTATTCTTCATGTCTGTTTTCTAGTCAATCGAGGTTGAACACAGAAGGCTGTATTTCTGCCCCCGACTTCTTACATCTGTAATGGAATTAGTTGTGATTTTTAAGTTTCTTTAATTTGATATTTATTGTCTAATTAAAAGTTTATAGGGTTGGGGTTGTGGCTGTATGATAGAGTGCCTGCTTAGCACGTGTGAGACACTGGGTTCGATCCCTAGCACCACATAAAAAAAAAATGAGTTTTTTTTAAAAATCATAAGTTAGGTCTTAGACCTAATTTATAAGATTATGGGTCAGAAGAATCTTAGCATTTTTGTCCCCTCCCAAATCTATTTCTTGAATTAGATTTATCACAGCTTGCTTTTGTGGATCATAACAAAAAATGCCATTTTTTAGCAAATCCTATTTAAAACTGATTTGACACTGAAGTGGATTCATTTATTCATACATTTACCCAAGATATATATCATTATTGAGGGGATACTAGGGAATAAAAATAGCTCTCTCTGTACTTGGTGTTCTTTAGGGGGATGATATCATACTCCCAAAATCAGAACAGCAGTGCTATGGTGTGCGTGAAGGCTTACAGTGGACACAGATAGATGTTGATGCCCGTTGTCCACAGTATGCCATATGAATATTATCACTTACCATCTCTGCCATGGCTTTGGCTTGGGAAGTGCCCAGGAGCAAGAAATAAAGGATGGGAGGGACCCTACTCTTGCCTACTAATAAGCTTTGTGTTTTTAAAAAATTATGAGAATGATATCATTCATGTATTTTAACATTGAGGAAACTTTTACTGGTGAACTTGTTAGTCCTCACTTTGGCTTTGGATATGGCCAGGATTTTATAGTATAGTTGGGCTGATAAATAGCATTTCTATGTTAATATTATGTCCATGGTTTTAACCCTCATTTATTCTGACTTAATTATAATATGTGATCCAAAATATTTTACTAATGCTGTGATATTATTTTGTAGTAATTTCATACCACATAAAAGTTTACCATGAGCAATTAAATTTACTGGGATTTTGTTATATCTTATGCAATGGTATTATAAAGTACACCATAAGTAGCTCTGTCATGCACTTAGGCTGGTGAGTTTTCCAAAAGATGTTCCAGAAGGATCTTGTGTTTTTATTTTACCTGATAACAGTTTTACTGCACAGAACCAAGATAGGAGTTAGATTAAGATACTACAATAGAACTTAAGTAGAATTTTTGAAATTTCTACTTTAACAGAGATTCCTCTTATATCTTTGATAATGATTTTAAAAGCTAGAATTAATTTTAAATGAGAAAAAAAATTGTTCACTTTCTACATTTATCCATTTCTCTAATATCAATTGTATGATGCCCCAATATGCTTTGCACAGCCTTTTTTTATTACCCCTTTTGACCCTGACTCCAAGGGTTATTCAATTTATTTTGGCAGTTCTCTTAAAGGTAGCTATTATCATCTAGTCATTCAAAGTTGTATCATATTCTTTTCTGAGACTTCCTTCCCTAAAAAATGTTTAACTTTATCTTTACTATCATATTTGACACACTGTAAATCCCTTTTCAGTGTTGTCCAACATCTCAGGTTATATTATTTGTTACTGTTATCATTTTCTCCTTGTACCTAAAATGAAAGATCTACAAAGTCCTTTTAGATCTGACAGGTTGCATTTTGGGGTTTTTTGTTTGTTTGTTTGTTTGTTTTTTAGGGGATAAAATCATACAAAACACAGAGCTACTTGGTGCTTTTCAAAGGGCTATATGAAGATTGCCATAGGTCCATCAACATTATATTTAGACTTTAATAGTCATTTTGATATGTAGAGTCTTGTTTTTGTTTTCTACATATAATTGTATTTGTGAAATATGTTTGGCATTTTTATTTTGGAGCAGGCTGTCTTTTTATTTCTATTTCATGTGTAATTTAAGGCAAGACTGAGAACTCCATTACAAAATGTAGAAACTTCATGGCTACTTGTTCCATTGAAAGATTGTACATAACAGTAGTGGCCATCACTTAAAAAATACAACAGTGCTTTTATATTACAGATTTCTCTGCTTAAAATTCTTACCATTCATACACAAAAATTTTACTTATATTTTATTAATTAATGTTGTCAAAGGAATATGCCATATTATAAACTTAGTTTGAAAGGGAGCATTATGCTGCTTTGTAAAGGATAAGCCATGTAGTAGCCTAAAGAGCTGTCTCAGCAATGAATGATTTTCTGTATGTATTTTACTACAGGTACTTTATCCTAATCAAAACAATCTTTTAAATAGAAAGGAGGTAATAGTTAATATGTAGTTCAGCTGTTTAATTTTCTATCAGAAATTTTATTTAACATGAATACACATGTGTGCTTTGAAAAGATAAAAAATGAAGGAAACCTTGCCTAATAAGATTTCTTGTGTAAACAATGGTTGGAAAGAGGAAGGACTAATACAAAATATTGTCAGTTTGGAATTGCACATTTGACTGCAGATAATTGGGTACTGGCAGTTAAGTTATAGTTAAAAGCATGCTTCCCCCTGCACCACCATAAGTACTTAACTCTGTAAGAAACATTTTTATATTCTCATTTTTATTAATGTATCCTATAAGTACTGGGTGCCTAATGTGTGCCAGATGCAGTTCTAGATGCTAGAAAGACAATAATGAACAAGTCCTTCCTTAAATTGAGGTAGAAGTTGTTCAGGCTTTTGTGGAAACCAAGCTTGTTTTCCTATTTGCCCAATTTTGTAAAATTTCTAGATTCAAACTTTATTATGACTGTGCTCACTTTGACTCAAACTTGAACTACATACAAACTGAGAGTCTGTAGCAAACATAAGATGTTTGATAAAGAGGAATTGGGGCTGTTTTCAATAATAGTCTCTTCCTCTGATATCTCTGCTTAGGCAAAGCAGGAACTGTGGCAAAAGTTATATAAAATGTATTTATTGTTAAGTGCTTTTAGTTTCCTAAGAAAAGCCACTCTTTATGTGATTATCCTGCTATGTCCTTGAGTTAGGGTAATCTATTTTAGGCACAGCAGGCTACTTTGGGTCTTGAGTTATTTTAGCTTAAGTTAACTCAAGCTAATTTAAGTTTACAGCTGCAAATAAAGTATTACATATTGAATTGCTCAAGGGCCTTATCACTCCAACAATAATTAACTTTTCCAGACCAATAAAGGATCATTTTTTTTCTTAGATAAGTGAAAATGCTAGTGACCTACAAGTGTCTTTGAAAATCTTTTGAGTAAACCATTTGCTGCATTCACCCTAATTAGGTTTCAATCTTTAGAGTAGAATTTATAGCTGAAAAGATGTGACAAATAAATACGAATTTCATTCCAAGGCTTTTGGTAAGTGTGGATGTTGTTTTTTTCTGAAATGTCAAAATAGAGTTGTTTTTCAGTAAAACTGAATGTGTATAACTCTTAGTAACATTTATTTTTACTGGGTTATTAGGATTTAAAAAGCATCTCACGCTTTACTACCTATAGAAATTGTTTTAATGCTAATGAATATTTGAATTTTGGCTAATATTTTTATATGATTTATAGAGCATAATTTTTCCCTAGTTTTTATATAATATAAATAGAATGGTCATTCAGTGTTGGTCTGAAGAACTTCTCTTTAGCATTTAAAAATGATTGAATCAGTGATTATTTTAAAACTCAAATTGCATTTTGGTCCTAAGTTTTACAGTCAATTTTTTTCTCAATTAAAACATAGGTCCTAGTGAGCCAAACTTTTCTCTTATTGTTACTTTAGATCATGGAGTGCATCGGATCCTTTCTATACCAACGACAGGAGCATCTTGACTCTCTCCACAATGGACTCATCTACTTATTAAAGGGGCATTAGTACTTTGGGGAGCAATTTCACCTCCTTTCCTCAGATTCAGGGTGATCATCCTGTAAATGGCCACACTAGCTGTGAAATTACTTTCTGAAATCTCTGGAGTAGTTCATACTCACTCAGAGTAATAATGACAAACAGAAAATTAAAATGAACCCTTCTCTCCCTTTAATTTTAATCTATTATTTCATGTTAAAATTTATGAATAAAGAGACATTTTCAGTCTCTTTGTCTGGGTTGTCCCTTGTGCTTATGGGACTCCTAATGGCATTTCAGCTTGTTGCTGAGGCTACTGTATTTTAATATCAAAGTAGAAGGAGATAACTTCTAGTTATGTGTATTTTTTAGAATTAGCTTGATTGACTCTTCTATTTAAACTTGCTTCTGTAAATTATGCTGAAAGTTTGCCTTGAGAACTCTATTTTTTTATTAGAGTTATATTTGAAGCTTTTCATGGGAAAAAAATGTGAATTTTAAGGAATTCTGGTCCTGCATTGACCTGTGTTGTTAATTCATTAGTATTTTTAAGTTCACAGAGCAAATTAGGAGAATATATTTCCAATCATTATTTACTGCAGTATGAGGAATAAATTTATACCTATACCAAATTTCTCTAAATGTAGCCCAGCTAGTAAACCTGATAAATGCAAAGAGGGTTTATCATATCTTATATATAAATCAGAAATCAGGTCCAGTCACCAAATTTCAAAGTGATGTATACTAACATTTTTGTGACTGAATATGAAGAACCTATAGTGGGTAAATGTGATACTATTATCATATTATTAATTTGTCTTTATCATTGGATCTTTTGCATGCTTTAACCTGGCTAATATATTTAAATTTGCATTCTTTCTCTCTCTTTATCCAAAGGCTCTGTTGAGTATTTTATGACAATGTTGTAAGTTCAACTATATCAATAAAAAACAAATTTGGACAGTATTTAAATATTGCAGATACTTTTAATTATACAAATCAAATTTGGGTAACTATGCTGGGTGTGGTGGTACATGCCTGAAATCCCAGCAGCTTGGGAGGTCAAGGAGGGAAGATAGATAGTGAGTTCAAGAGCAGTGTGGGCAACTTAGCGAGGCCCCATCATCAAAAAGAAAAAAAAGAAAGAAAGAGTAATTAAATTAATAAAAATGGAACAGCCTCTTATGGCCAACTTAGAATTACTCTTGCCTTTCTGTAAGAGACTTCAAAATAAAGAATTTCTGCCTTTTTTTGTTGTTGTTGTTGTTAGTGTATGTTATCTAAGTTGCAGCAGACCACCACTGTAAATTAAACTGCTCAAGGTCCCATATAAGGTATATTGTTGGTTGGGACTGCGGAAAATAAATCAAACAAAGTCTAAAACGCTAAATTTTATCAGCAGTAAATAAATTTTAGCAGCAATAAAGTACTAACAATGAATAATTAGGTACATGTCACTCTAATTAACTCATTACATCTCAAAACTTAATCTCAAAATTTAATTTCTTCCCAAATGTATCATGTAGTTTCAGTATTGTCATTTGTTTTGTTTAAAAGTAATGTTATTTTAAGATTTTGAAGTATCAGTTTATATACTGTAATCTAGCTCTAAGCATACTTACAATTGTAAATAAGTGAGGTTTTTCTAGATTTTCCCTTGAGAATGTAATATTTCCTTTTTGAAGATTTATTGTGCAATTCTCTCTCTACTCATTTCCCATTTCATGAATCCAGGACTTCTGGACTTGGACTGGTGGTGAAAGAACATAGAGCAAGAATTAAGACTGCACTCTTTTTTGCTAGTAAATTATTTACTTGCTAATATAATATTTTTTCAGTAATGAAGGATATGAAGTTATTCATTTCAGGCTAAATTTCAATTTTCATAAATAGCCCTTCTTTAACAGATATTTCAGTTAGATTTAGAATGCTCTCTTATTCTGGAAGTATGCTAAAGGAATAATATGTTGTATAATGTATACACTCACCAATTCTTGTTTTAGAGAGAAATATTGCAGAAATATTCAGTGGAATAATTTAGTGGAGGACAATATGAAATTTGCTTTCTCTTGGAATGTCTTATAAAGCACATATATAACAAAATGAGATTCAGTAGGTCTGCCTTAGCAGTGTTTTGTGCCACCAAATAAACTAACTACTGACACTAGAGAAGGACCACAGAGTCATCAAGTAGTCTATGGCCAGCTGCAGGGAGATAGGTCAGCTGGCTTCCATGGGTCTTCTCATACATTTGATTGTAATTTTCTGCACTCACCCATTTGCAGTTAGTGAAGAACTTTTTTGTTTCATTGCTTTTATTGTTTTGGTACTGGAGATCAAACCCAGGGTCTGCCTCGCTCATCCTAGGCAAGTGGGCTACTGCTGAGCTATCCCAAGCCCTATTTATATTTTTCAGGAAAAAAAAAATGCTTGAGCATGCATGAGCCCTGAGTTCAGACCCCAGCACTGCAAATAAATAAATGGTACTATATGCTCACCCTGCTTTTTTGTTCAAAACTTCATTTTTTTAGGAAAATCATAAATTTTTTATTTAAGTAGTAATGCAGCCTATAAGCTTCCTGTACTTTTCTAACACTTATACTACAAAACTTTACTACATAACCAGTATTCACAGATAATTTCCCCTTGCATATTCAATGTTGATAATTTTATTCTTATCTGCCAAAACCAGAGTGAGATGCTAAATGTGTTACTGCTAGTTTACTAAGGTCTGAAATCTTTTTGCCTCGCTGGCTTTCCTTTACCTAGTCTGAAGTCTTCAGGCCTAGAGATAAAGACGATCGCCAGGTTAGTTTCCAGAATTGCCCATCAGCTTTTTCAGGTGACTCAGTGCCCTGCCTTGGCTTATAACAAGCACAGGCTCACCCTGGAAGGCGAAGAGTGGGGATTGAGAACTATAGCTGCCAAGGCTTGCTGAGGATGAAGAGAGAAGTGGGGAGAATTAATGGTCTCATTTCTCTAACTTCCCTTCTCCTTGGGTCTGAAGTTTGTGCTATATAAAGGCTTCCAGAGCTGACCCAAACTCTGGCACTCTCCTGAATAGATTTTAATTGAGGCAAATCACCTTGTTAGGAGATAACTGCATTCAGACCTATTAGTAGTACTAGGACTGCAAATAAATACTGAAGAAGATTGTGAAATTGACTTGTCTAATAATCTTGAGACTGATGATTGGCAGGAGTCAGGGAGATATATAAAAATTAAGAGACATAAGTTTTCAAAATATACTACTTTAAAAATCTCTTGGAGGCTAAGGGAAAGAGGAATTGTCCATGTTTGTGTTTTCTCTAAAAAATCAATTTGGAGTATAAGCAGGTATTAATAAAATTAACAAACCAAAGAGTTGTATTAAAATATGTTCTATTAGTTTTGGTCCCCCTATAGATAATTTTATTTCTATCTTAAAATTAGTTATCTATTTTCATTTTTTTAAAAAAACAATATATTGCTGTTTGAGATGAAATAACTTGAAAGATATTCTTACAAAAAACAGATAGTAACTAATGATATGTTTGTAATAATGGTGATTTGTTAGATTTTTATGAAGAATGAGTAGCTAGAAATATTGTAGCAATACTTAGTTTAAAACTTTGGACCTCAGACACTGTGGTTGTCTAATGTAATCCTTAAAAATTCTCTGCATTGTCAGTAACTTTACTATATTTATTGTATAGCTCTCAGTAATTTTTTTAAAGTTTATGGAATTATATTTATCAAATAAAAGTATTTCTATATAAGTAAGTGTTTCTCCATTATTTAAGCATTTTTAAAATTTTTTTTAGTTGTAGATGGATACAATACATTTATTTTATTTACTTATTTTTTTGTGGTGCTGAGGATCGAACCCAGTACCTCACAGATGCTAGGCAAGCACTCTACCGCTGAGCCACAACCCCTGCCCTATTGGTATTTTAAGCTTCTGTTCATCATAACCAGCACTGCCAAACTGGTTTCAAAATAAATGTTACTGTGTTTACCCTCCATTATAGTACAAGAGTATCATTTATGCCTTTCACTAACTGCATTTTTATAATATAGAAGTATCCAGATTTTATAAGAAATTAGTACAATTCCTGAAGAAGGGTCTGAAAGAAATGCACCAATTATAAAGACCAGTACACTTCAAATAGAAATTACATCGTTCATGAAAAGCCATCCAAGACCACTTGTGAATCTGGAAATGCCTTGTAAACATAAAATACATACTCTTTAAGAAATATAACTGTTCAAGCCAGGGCCATGGTGCATGCCTTAAACCCAGCATCTGGGGAGGCTGAGAAAGGAGGACCATAAGTTCAAGGTAAGACCCTGTCTCAAAAAGGGCTGGGAATGTAGTTCAATGATAGTATATCTAGGGCACTTTAATTCCCAGGAGTATAAAAAAAGAACAAAAGAGAAAGAAATATAACTGAAATGTATAGAAACTATTCCAATTTTAGGTAGAGTACAGATAATTGTTTAATCTACGTTTATTTTTAAAAGTTAAGCTGTTGTTTTTGCCAAAGTGTTATTTAATATTTGCAAAAGATGCATTGAATGATTTATGTAATTTATTTTTGAAATAAGATATGATCCTAGACAAATCAATTTATCTAGCAGTTTATTTGTTTCAGTACTGGAGATTGAACCCATGAGTGCTTAGTCAACCTCTGAGCTACATCCCCAGCCCTTTTTACTTTGTGAGACAGGGTCTCACTGAGTTGCCAATGTTGGCCTCAAATTTGAGATCCTCCTGCCTCCGCCCCCTGATCTCAGATCTTGGGCATCCATTTATATATTTTAAAAGGGAGTTGGGTGGTTTGACTATCTTTAAGGTGTTTCTGACTTTTGATGCACAAGAAGTAGAACATGACAAATTATACTGAAGAAGAAATCATTGAAGAAGAAATTTAGACCAAAAAAAAACTTATGGAAAGCATTTTGCCAGAAAATTTTGTGAGTTCAAAAACAATTCAAGTTTTATATTGAAGAGTGAACTGACTCGGAGGAAAGGGCTATGGGTTAAGTCAAATGTTTAGTACTAACATCTTAAGATAAAATGATTTGTATTCAGATACGGTTATTAAAAGCAAAGTACACAGATGTTAGGGTTGCAGTTCAGTCACTTTTGACTAACATATACACCTATGTAACCCATCATTCCTGATTTTTTTTTTTTTTTTTTTGGTACCAGGGATTGTACTCAGGGACACTTAACCACTGATTCACATCCCCAGCCCTTTTTTGCATTTTATTTAGAGACCGTGTCTCACTGAGTTGCTTAAAGCCTCACTAAATTGCTGAAGCTGGCTTTGAATTCAAGATCCTCCCACCTCAGCTGCTGGGATTACAGGCATGCACCACTGTACCTGGCCCTGAAAAGATTCTTAGTGCCTCTTTCCAGTGAATCCATTCCCCTTCCCTACCATAGCAATAAAAGAGAATAAAAGGAAAACTACTCCATTTACAGCCATTTACAGTAGCCTCAATCATTTTTTCTGATTTCTGTGGTTGAAGATTAGTTTTGCGTGTTCTTGAATTTCACATAAATATTGTAGTATGTTCCTTTTTCTATCTGGCTTTGTTGTTCAGCATGTCTATTTGATTGATTCATGCTGTTGCCTGTATCCATGGCTTGTTTCCTTTAGGTACTCCTAAAGTTCCATTGCATGACATAAAATTTCCTTCCCTTTCTCTTCTTTGTGACCATCTGGGTTATTGATTATTGCTATTATAAATAAAATTATGAACATTCTTTGTGGAACTGTGTTTTCATTTCTCTTATGAAATAACTAGGAGTAGAATTGCTAACTCATAGGGCAGGTTCATGTTCCTAAGAAACTGCCAAAATGTTTTCCTCAGTGGTTGTGCATACCATTTTATACACTAGCAGTTATGAGTTCCACTTCCATATCATTGCCAAGATTTGGTAGTGTCAGTCTCTTTAATGTTAGCCATTCTAATGGATATGAATACTTATGATTTTAATTTGCATGATAAATAATGACATTTAACTCCTTTTATGTACTCATTAGTAATTTGTCATTTTTTTCAAAGTAACGGTTCAAATCTCTGGTCATTTGACTATTTTCTTAATGGTAGGGAATCCTTTATGTAAGGATGTAAATCCTTCATCAGATATGTTTATTAGCATTTTTCTCCCAGCCTGTGGTGACTTTGGAAGCAGAAGTGTTTTGATGAAGTTTAATTTTTTTTTCTTTTATGGTAAAGTGATTTTTAGGTCCTTAAAAAACTCCTTGTCAACTCCAATGTCATGAAAATATTTTCCCATTTTTTAATTAACTTTATATATGACAGCGGAATGTATTACAATTCTTAATACACGTATAGAGCACAATTTTATAACTGGTTGTATAAAAAGTATGTTCACACCAATTCATGTCTTCATACATGTACTTTGGATAATAATGTCCATCACATTCCACCATCATTTCTAACCCCATGCCCCTTTCCTTCCCTTCACACCCCTTTGCCCTATCTAGGGTTCGTCTATTCCTCCCATGCTCCCCCTCCCTACCCCACTATGAATCAGCCTCCTTAAATCCGAGAAAACATTCGGCATTTGGTTTTTTGGGATTGGCTAACTTCACTTAGCTTTATCTTCTCTAACTCCATTCATTTACCTGCAAATGCCATGATTTTATTCTCTTTTATTGCTGAGTAATATTCTATTGTGTATATATGCCACATTTTTTATCCACTCATATACTGAAGGGCATCTAGGTTGGTTCTACACTCCCTCTAAAAACTGGAACAAGACAGGGATGCCCTCTTTCACCACTTCTATTTAACAGTTCTTGAAACTTGCCAGAGCAATTAGACAAAAGAAATTAAAGGGATACACATAGGAAAAGAAGAACTCAAATTAGCACTATTTGCTGATGATATGTTTTTTTTTTTAAGAGAGAGTGAGAGAGGGGGGAGAGAGAGAGAGAGAGAGAGAATTTTTAATATTTATTTTTTAGTTCTCGGCAGACACAACATCTTTGTTGGTACGTGGTGCTGAGGATCAAACCCGGGCCGCACGCATGCCAGGCGAGCGCGCTACCGCTTGAGCCACATCTCCAGCCCTGATGATATGTTTCTATACCTAGAAGACCCTAAGTTTCACCAGAAAACTTCTAAAACTAGTAAATGAATTCATCAAAGTAGCAGGATATAAAATTAACACCCATAAATCAAATGCATTTCTGTATATCAGTGACAAATCCTCTGAAAGGGAAACAAGGAAAACTATTTCATTTACAGTAGCCTCAAATAATTGGGAATCAACTTAACAAAAGAAGTGAAAGATCTATATAATGAAAATTACAGAACTCTAAAGAAAGAAGTCAAAGAAGACCTTAGAAGATGGAAAGGATAGATAGAATTAATATTATCAAAGTGCCCATACTACCAAAAGCACTATAACAGATTTAATGCAATTCCGATCAAAATCCCAATGACATTCCTCATAGAAATACAAAAAGCATGGGGCTGGGGATGTGGCTCAAGCGGTAGCGCGCTCGCCTGGCATGCGTGCATCCTGGATTCGATCCTCAGCACCACATACAAACAAAGATGTTGTGTCCACCAAAAACTAAAATATATATATATATATATATATTTAAAAATTCCCTCTCTCTCTCCCCTCTCTCTTAAAAAAAAAGCAGCAATGTTTTCTTTTGATGGCATTATAATATTACCGTATACATTTAGGTCTGTGATCATCTCCAGTTGTCTTATGTGTACATAATAGAAGGATGGAAGCTCTTCATTCTTCTCAGCCCCATTATAAGCTTATCTGTTTTGATTAGTTCCATTTGTTGAAAATATTCTTTCTCCATTCCATTGGGTTGGCATCCCTGTTTAAAACTGATTATCATATAAATGTGAATCTGTGGCTCTCTTCTGTTGTATTCATTTATCCTTGCACCAGAAGCAAACTTCCCTGATTTTTATAGCTTTGTGTTTAGCTTTGAAATCAAGTTAACATGATCCTCCAACTCTATCATCAGGATTGTTTTGGCTTTCCTGGGTCCTTTATATTTCCATATAAATTTGGGAGCTAGTAATTAGCTTTTTTTTAAAAAAAAGGAACAGAAAAAATTGATGTGTTTTGATTTATATTGCTCTGAATCTATAGACCAATTTGGGAAGAACGGACATTCCTCCTATCCATGAACACAATCTCTCTGCATTTATTTAGATCTTTTCTTTCTCTTAACAATATTTTACAGTGTTCCATATAGACATTGGATAGATCCTTTGTTAAATTCCTGTTATTGGGCTGGGGATGTGGCTCAAGCGGTGGCACACTCACCTGGCATGCGCAGGGCACTGGGTTCGATCCTCAGCACCACATAAAAATAAAAAAAGATGTATCCACTGAAAACTAAAAAATAAATATTAAAAAAATTCCTGTTATTGTTATTATTTTATTATGCAACTATAAACAGAATCCACAACCTTGCTGAAAGCACTCATTTGTTCTTGTCTCCTTTTGTATAGAATCCTTTGAGTTTGCACATACTCGTCATCATACGTGAGAATAAAAGGTTTTAACTTTTTTCTTTCCAATATTTATACCTTTCATCTATGATTACCTATCACACTGGGCCAGAACTTCTGGTACAATGATAAATAGACATGGTGAGAATAATGGAGGGAGGAATACACACACACACACACACACATATTTTTTTGTTACAGTTGTTTTACATATATGTATATATGTGCATATATGTATAAATATACA